CAGTGGATGTGCCTCCCTGTGAAGCCCACGCCCTACAAGTCTCCCATTGGAGTCTGGCCCAGCACCGCGGCTCGGAGCATCACCCCCTTCTGTCCATGAATCAGGACTTGAACGGGACTGGAACCACTCGCACTTGTCCCTGTAGACAGGACAGGGCAGCTCCGACAAGCAGGCACCCTAGACTACTGTTCTATACTCCCCACCCGCCCAAGCTGGAGTCCCCCTTGAGTCTCAGAGTCTAAGGATCAATCTAGAACAGGGGTCCTCAAACTTTTTAAACAGGGGGCCAGTTCACTGTCCCTCAGACCCGTTGAAGGACCGGACTATAGTTTTAAAAAAAAACAAAACTATGAACAAATTTCTATGCACACTGCACATCTTACTTTGAAGTAAAAAAAACAGGGCAAAAACACGGGGTGGGCCAGATAAATGTCCTTGGTGGGCTGCATGTAGCCTGCGGGCTGTAGTTTGAGGACCCGTGGTCTAGAACCACGATCGTCAGAACTGGTCCAAGTACATTCCCACTCAGCTTCGCCCCCTCAGTCTGTCTGCAGGCCAGCTGTGCTCAGTTCTGGGAGCCAGGGTCAGTGGTCGCGGATTGAGTCCTGTTGGAGGGCCCTCCCTGGTGGTGCACGGGTTCAGCCACTCAGACGCGGATTGAGTCCTGTTGGAGGGCCCTCCCTGGTGGTGCACGGGTTCAGCCACTCAGAGGAAGGCTGCCACAGGGGCCCACAGCAGCAGGTCTCATTGGGGCTACGAGCTGCTGCCAAGGCCAAGGCAGCAAGGCAGCTGCCAGCAAAATGAAAGCCAGCAAATCACCACATCTCCTGGCTCCAGGACTGAGCTGGCCAGTGTGGTGCTGGGGCCACTCAACGGGAGATCACGGAGACCTCCCAAGGGAGGCTGCTGGGCCGGACAATCAGCAGCAGCCAGAGATGCCACAGGACTGATTGGGGACACACACGTCCCCAAAACAGCTGGTCTTTCTGCATCCATCTACATAGGTGCACGCCAGAGCACCAGAGGAGCCAACAGGGAGATAGCTGAAACGGGGTACAGCGGGCATGAGCACCCACAGAAAGCAGACGCTCAGGGCAGAGACAGTGAAAAAAGCCAACTCCTAGGCGTCCTACGGGACAGAGCAGAACTGCCCTAGAGTGGTTGTGAGGGTGTACATCAGGAGCGGAGGGGAGACCAACTTCTCCCAGAACCAGCCCGTGCTGAGAGGAATCTGCTGGTCAGAACTGGTCACCCATGAGGAGTCTCTGTTACAACAGATGAGAGAACTAAGGCGGGACACCCATCCTCAGGTGGGGGGATGGGGCGGTGAGCAGGGCAGGGCACCAAGATATTCCCAGCAGTGCTGTGGATGCCCGCACGACCTGCATGGGCTGGGTTCTTGACCAGACCCAGCTGCTGAGTGACAAGGGGCCATCTGACTATGGCCTGGAGGTCAGCCCTAGAGGGACAGCTGGGCAGACTGGGCAGCTTGGCTAGCCGAATACAGTCCACCAGGGAAGTTTGCTAACTGGCCAGCACCCATAATCTTGCTGGGGGCTTTTCTACTCACAGGGTCCAGACCTGAAGGGGTCACTGCACCTTCAAGTTCACGAAGCCCCTCCCACAGGCCCAAGATGGATGCACGGTTAAGAGTCCACGAACCACAGCCGAGACGCCCTTCTGGCTTTCAAGGCTGTCATCTCTTGGGGACACACATGTACCTGCACACAGGGGACTCCTGCATGACCCCCACTCCCACACACACCCAGACTGCCCCCCACCATACACCTAGACACACTATCCCCTCCCCCCAACATGGGGTGGTCTGGCACAGAATCTCTCAAACGAAGATGGCAGGTGACCCAAGGAGCCTCGGGTTAGAGTAATGATATTCAGGGCTGGAGCTGCTGTCCTCTGCTTATCTAGGACGACTGTGCACACATTCGCATGCTGCGTGTGTTCGCATATACGCACACAGAGTCCCAGCTTGCCCACTGCTTTGTCCAACCCAATGGCTGGGCCTCCTCCTTCCTCCTCCCACACATGCCCGCTCTCCTGCTCAAGCTAGGCCCCAGGTCCTCCCTGCCTTCTGACCCCTCCAAGTACCTCCTACCCCAGCACCCATACCCCTGCCTCAACCAGCTCTCAGCCTGCACAGAGGGTACATACTGGACCAACTGCAGGTTCAGTGCATGACGGGACACACAGCACCACACCCAAGGCTGGCAATCCTGCAACTTCTACCCACCCCTCCCCGGAGAGCATCTTGCAGCAACAGACTGCAGAGAAGTCACCAGTCGACCAGAGACATGCCCACCCCTCTGTGCGGCTCCCAAGCAAGCCCTGTTCAAAATGCAAACTGTGAGGGACAAGATAAGGGACAAGACAGCAATGCCTCTGGAAACAAAGCCCAGCAGCCAGGGTGCCCCAAGGACACCAGGGCATGCACCAGCTAGGCTGCGGCCAGGTGCTCATGGGCAGCTGGAGAGCTGCCAGGCAGGCCACCCTGGAGGCAGTGGCAGGCCAGCAGGCAGACAGCCAGAGGCCTGTTCACCAAGACTCAGAAGGACAGTCCACCTGGCATCTGACCACAGGGTAGTGGCCACTGAGATCAGAGAAGCCACAGCCATGGCCAGAGGCCAGGCTGAGGGCGCCCCCCAACTTGTGCTCGTCCATACCAGGGATTCCCCCCCGCTTGCTTCTCCAGCAGCAGCCTCTTCTCGTCCTGGGAGAACTGCAAGTCCAGCTCGAAGGAGTTCGAGTCCAGGTCATGGATGTATTGCTCGACACTGCTGCCCGCACGCGGGGTCCGGCCCGACTCAGCAGAGGCTAGTGAGTGTGACGAGGATGAGGTCACCTGCATGCAGCCAAACTGACTCAGGAGGTTGTCATACTGTAGGAGCAAGAGATGGTGCCTCAGTCCTAGCACACCTGCGGAGGGGCGCAGGGGACCGGCCCGGCCTACCTGCCCGCCTTACATTGCCATAGCAGTCCTCATCATCCTCAGACATGGCTGGCAGGTAGGCCGTGAGCTTCGGGGGCGTCTGCTGGTGCAGGTCCTCCCACGTGATGGACTCGAAGAATGAGTGGGCCTTCAGTGGCGCGTACCCGGCCATCTCCTCACAGCCCAGTCGCTTCGTGGCGTCCAGGACCTGTAATGGAGGGCCAGCTGGGTCAGAGCCATCAACACGGCGCTCCCAGGGGCGCTGCTTGTTGGCCCTTCTCTTAGAAGGGGTCAGGCATCCTGGTAGCCTACTCCCCATGGCCAGATGCCACCAAACACATGGGGCTCTGGGGACTGCAGGGGCGGGGGGGCCTCAGAAGACAAGCCACTTATTTACCAAGAGCTTTTCCACAAGGTCCCTGGCCTTGGGGAAGAACTTCTCTGGGAAATCATACTCCAGCTTAATGATCTTCTGGAAGATGAGATACTCGTTCCTGTGAAGCAAGAGCCCAAGTCATGGGGGGCCGGGGGGCGGGGTACCTGACAGAGCTGCTGTCCCTCCCACCCCACCTCCACCCTGTGTGTGCACGCATGGGCGCACACACACGCGCCAGGTTGGGGAAGGTCACAATCACACCCGTGTGGTGCAGGCCCCCGGTGGCATCTGACCTGGCCGGCTGGGGACACCCAAGGCCAGAGGCTGACGGAACTGAGGGCACACAGCCTTACCCTGCTCGGAAGGGTGGGAGTCCGGCCACAAGCTGGTAGACGATGCAGCCAAGAGCCCATAGGTCTGAGCTTTAGGGAGGAGGAAACACAAGACAGCAATGCTGCTGAGTCGGCCCCGCTCCCAGTGAGCCAGCGCGCCTCAGCATCACCCCTGGAAACCAGTGACCTGCCCAGAATCCCCCCAACAGCCAGCCCGAAGGTCTGACATGTGACTGCATTGTGTCCCATAAAACAGCTGGCCGTGCCCTGGCCAGAGTCCGGATAGCCAGCCCACAGGCCCCACCCACGGCTTTACTCTAAGTTCGGTGACTTCCTGGAACCCAAACAGATTGGGTGGACATCACTAGACACTGGGGCCCAGGGCAGCGGCCTCAGAGAGGGGTGCCCATGTCACCGCTAGACCCAGGACCAGGGTGGATGGGCTGCCACCTCTGCACCCGACAGAACTCGCCACACCAGAGGCTCTAACCAATGTCTGCCCATGGCTGCTTGGAGGAGGAGCTTAGCATCCCACCCCGGGGTCTCCGAGGGGCAGAGCTGTGGACAATGAACACACAAAAAACGAGGTCTGGGCACTAGGAGCACCTGCTGTGCTGTAGATCCTAGAATAATGCTTGACGGGTGGCAGTTTTAAGTACATACCAGGATTACAAACGTGAGACCAGGTGTTCTGCAACGAGTGCACCTGGGGAGCAGCACGCATGCGGCACACGGGCTGACTAGCTGCGTTCCACCGGCTCATAGTCAGCTCCGCACAGCCCTGCTCTCATACCCACACGGGAAGCCCCTGCTGTCTGGTTCTGGTACCTTCTAGAAATCTAAATGCACCCAACTGAGGGTGACACACGGCAGTGCACTCTGCACTTGAGTCTGTCCCAGCCCGGTGCCGGGGTGTACAGGAGCCAGTTCTCAAGGTACAGGCCTGACGTTTTGAAAGTGCCACCAGGAAGAGGGTCTCCTGCCTGGGCCCTGTGAGGGGAAGAGGGGCAGGGCCATTACCTCTTACAGGCAGACTTCTCGGTGAGCAGCTCTGGAGAGACATACTGGGCCGTCCCCACAAACGAGTTGGCCCTGGCTGAAGAGAAGGGGCAAAGGGGCAGTCACACATTGACCTCACCAGGTGTGTACTTCCCAGACTGTCCTATCCTTCTCCCCTGGTCCAGCCCTGCAGGTCAAGAGCTGACAGGCAGTGGACAGGTGACATCACCTGTGAAGTGAGGGCAGGGCACCTAAAGTGAGAGAGGTGGTCTTCTCCCAGAGGTGCCTCAATGCAGAGGCCCAGGCTACCTATCCCCACACAGTGTGCTGAGGCCTCTCCAAGCTCAGAACCTGGCCGACAGAGTGCCTGTCCTGCCACCAGCTCATGTCCTCCCAGGGCAGCTGCACCAAGTGTCCTCGTCCACAAGCCCTGACAGAAATGTCGATTCTCTGGGGAGTTGGTGATGTGGCCATCACCTATGGTTGTCCTGTGATTCTCAGGACCCCAGAACCAGACGCCAGCCCAACCACCTGGTCCCGGAGTGCAGTGTGAAAGGGGCGCCTTTCCCGCCAGGGATAGTGCTGCTCCCTGACGAGAGAAAGGCAGGAAACCAAGGTACGAGCCATCCCCTGGCTGCCTTGACCAGGAGGCTCCGCCCCCCACCCTCAGCCACACTCTGCTGCAGGGACTGCGCCTTAGGAACCCCATTCCCCAAGTCGGCAGGCAGGCAGGCAGGCGAGGAGCGCGGTGCCGCGAGCAGTGGGGCAGGCGCATGGTGTCAGGGCCCAGAGTGTAGGGCTGGTGGTCTTGGCATCACTACTGTTGGCCTCCTGGGTTCTCACGTGGTGTCCTGTCAGGGGAAGAGTAGACGATGCTTCCTCAAGTCACACCATTCCTAAAGGCAGCTGTGTTGCTAAACAGAGGAACAGGGTGCAGGGTCACACAGGGGCGCACGCTCACAGTAGGGGGTGGTCGGGTCTCGTCTGAGGCTCCTGCAGCCAGCTCCCAAGCTGTGCCTAACAACCACCCACCTGCTCGTGCCTGTGCCCCTCTCCAGCCCACGTCCCACAGATTCCTCTCAGCCCAGTGACAACTCCTGGCCCCCAGCTGGCTGCACAGGCCTTCCCTTCCTTCCTCTTCCCCAGGAGCAGAGGCGGCCTGGGCTCCTTGGCTCGGGAACCCTTTCAAGAGGTCCTACACAGCAGACCTGCCCAGTGCAACCCACTGCTTGACTTCCTGCTGCGTCCGCCCATATCAGTGACTGGATCCACCTAGGATGAGCCCTTGCCAGCACGGGGCTCTCCTCCGTTCACGGGTACTGTCTGTGCAGACCTATGACCTTCTGATCTTCAGACAGCTTCACGCCTGCATCCATCAGCGAAGCCTTTGTGTCACCTGCACGTGACAGCTGGCAAACAAGCCTTCTTCCAAAGGTGCCGTTGTCTTCACAGAGGCCAGCTGCTCGGCACCCTGACTAAGAATGGCAGGAGGCCGAGACCCCAGCACCTCTCTGAACTCCCCACCGTGCTCTGGTGGTTTACGCACACACAGGCTCCACACTGGCGCAGAGAAAGGCTTCCATCCGCCTTGAAGAAAAGCCACTTGCAGTCAGTCACTGGGCCCAGGCGATCACATCACTGTGTCTCCAGCACCCTTTCTAAGCCCCAGGCCCATCTTCCCCAGCAGGACCTCCTCCTGGGCCTCCAGCAGCCACAGCCCCATCACCAGTGACTGTCAATGTGCTGGGGGCTGCATGCTTGTTCTCTGACAACGATCCCAAGTGCCACACTACTGGGCTGGACACGGTGATGCAGTAAGATGCCAGTGAATCCAACAGAGTGGCCGAGCTCCGCACCCACACCAAGCATGGAGGGTCAGAGCACAGGGGTGGCCCCGGGAGGCACTCTTGTGCCTGCAACCACGCGGAGGACAGAGGGACAGCAAGAACGAGAACGAGAACTCACACCTCATCCCCCACTGAGGACAGGGGACGGGATAACCAGGCTCAGAACCTGGCTACTTCCCCATCCTCAGGGATATAGCCCAAACCTCCCACCACCTGGCATCCACCTGAGGGCAGGGGACAGGGTCAGGGGTGACATGTGATCAGCAGGCTGGTCACATGGGTTTGGGTGTGGGGTGATGCACTTAGAAGACAGAGCAAATGGCGCGGCCACTTTGGAAAGTAGTCTGGCAGCACCTGAAAGGGGTTAGCATGAAGTTACCGTCCCCCCAACCCCGATTCCCAGTGACCCTCGAGGACAGAGGCAAGCTGCCCACTGCATTCCCAGGGCCTGGCTTTGCACAAAGGCTCATTTGCCCACAGACACACAGTCCCAGTCCCACAGAAACTGAGCTGGTGACAGTGACGGACAGAGCTGGAGTCTCCTGAACGGCCCCTGACCACCAGTGCTGCCCAAGGAGGATGCTGGGCCGTCAGCCCCATAACAAGTCCAACTCCCACGGGCACTCTGAAGCTTCGCACACAGCAGCTGCCCTCGGTTCACAACTGTGATTCCTGAGGCCTCTGAGGAAAGGGAAGCGGTCATTGCCCATGACACTTCTGCTTACTGTCAGTCTCGGGCAGATGAACACAGGCCACAGCTGACCCCAGCATGGCTGGCCTGGCCCCTCCTGCTCGCTGCTCCCACTGGACAGCAGTGGGCCAGGGACCTCACTAGCAAAGTCCATAGAAGAGACTTGGGACCAAATCTCTTGCCCCATGAGCTTCATCTGCCCCTCTCTGGGTGACGCACCAGATGTCAGGCCCGTCCACATTGGGGTTCCAACAGACTCCTTGCCCGGAGGTGTCAGGAAGTCTCACAAAAGCCAAAGGGACTTTGCACAGGCCCATGCTTCCGGAGCTGGGCCAGCAGCCTCCTTCCGCATGACAGTCACCACGAGTCATCACACACAGGCCGACAGGCCTCTGGGCATGTGGCTGTGACCTCAGAGACCACGCACATACAGGAGGGCCAGCTCAACATCCCACCCCCTACATGCCCATCAAGACTCTCCAGTGGGTGAGGTGGGACAGAGTGGCTTCTCTCGATGTATGTGACTCTTCTCCACCCTGCTCTGGCAGATTCTCCGGCTAAGACAAGCTGGGGCTGCTCTATCCTGCTCTCCGAGACTTACCTGTCAGATCAGTCTCCAACGTATTCACGCATTTACACCTAGACCGGGGGAACTGGGAGCCAGACGGCCAAGTGCCTAGTTCCTCCGACACTGGCTTGCCCTCTAGTCACACAGACATTCCCTGGCTTCCCCCAAACCTCACCAGCAAGAGTCCTATCTGCTAGTCAACCCTGGAAACCCACTTCCCTACAGCCTCTGGGCCCTACAGACCTAGGCTAGTCATCTGACACACTCCTGAAGGGCAAGCCAGCTTGTTGTCAGGCCTCATGGGCTTTCAGTGACACAGCTGCTGTAAGGGAGCCATCACCACACCCCACGGGCAAGTAGCCATAGGTGTGGGTGTGGGTGTGGGTGTGTGGTGACCAGTGTCTACTTGCCGTGTGACTGTGCAGCCGGGGGGCCCACCCACACCAGTGACCAGGAACGCTGAGTGTGCCCCATGGGGTAGTCGGGGCTGGACTACCTATGTAGGCCCCTGGGGAGAGAAGCTGCACATACCTTGCTTGCTCTCAGGGGAGAGCACCTTGGCAGTGCCGAAGTCCGTGATCTGAATGTGCATGTCTTCATTCAGCAGAATGTTCTCTGGTTTAAGATCCCTGAGAAGGTGAGTTTCCAGGTTAAAGATGGTAATGACTTCACACAATCCCCCACAAGGCACAGCACCTTCATTGGAGCTGAGTGCCCCAGTCAGCCAGCAGGTCTGACAGCATCGGGGACCAGGGGGATGCCCCAACACACTTCACAACTGCCAGCAATGAGTGCACAATCTACTGTCGTTACCCCAAATCCTTCCTCCCACCCACCTACCATCCTACCGTCCACTCCCTGCCCCTCCCAGGTGCACAGAGGGCTGCCGGGGTGGCTAGCAGCCTGGCCCCCACCTGTGGATAATGCCCTTGCCGTGCAGGTACTCCAAAGCAGACACGATCTCAGCGGCGTAGAACCGGGTGCAGGTCTCATCGAAAGAGCCGATTTTGCGAATGTACTTTAGTAGTTCTCCGTTCTTGGCATAACTCAGGCCAAAATCTGGACAGCACGCAGTTAAGGAAAGGGGTGCAACGTCAGCTTCTGAACCAACCGGGACAGCTGCAGCAGCATTGACTGCTTTCTTTTAGTGGGAGAAAACGGAAGGTAATCAAGAGCCCCTGAGGAATGGCCAGCCATGGTCAAAGCCCAGACTGAGGAAGCAGGGTGTGAACCCCATAGCACTCCTGGTTGGACCTCCCCTGGAGGGTAAGGACACATGAAAGTCCTCCTTAGACACAGAGACCCAGGGACGGTCTCCATCAGGACACCACCACTGGGCACCGACGACACCCCGCATGTCCCCAAGAGTGCCCTTCCACACCAGAACCATTTCTTGACTCACCCACCTGCCCACACTACTTCTGGTGCCCGAAAAGGTTGGTGCCATGTGGGCTGCAGAAAGGACAAAAAGTAGGTCTCTCCTTGAAGACCAGGACTGTCTCCAGGCACCTAGGTATCTCAGCCCCTAACCCCTCTCCTCACTGGCTGGGCAGAGGCTCTGGGACTCAGCTCTGGTCTGATGGCTCAGCTGTCTCTCTCTCCTTCAGCTGCAATGCAGTGGGGCCAGCCCATGAGGGGCAGCCAGGGTAGAGGGAAACTTGCCCAGGGCCACCCAGCCCCTGGTCACCGAGCACCCACCCCTCCCCTCTCCAGTGCCAGGAGACACTGAATCCCGTGTGGCTCCAGCACCCTGACCCGTTGGGAGCTCAGGCTGGCCACAGAGGTCCCCTCAGTCCTCGCTCTCCTGGCTCCTGCCCCCCACACCCCTATCCCCACCCTATCTGAGCCTCACACTCTGAGTTTCCTCAACGAAGCACGTCTAGCTCTCTGCCTGACATGGAGCATCACTGAAGGCTCGATCACCACACAGACACGTGTACACACTCGCACCTCACGTAAGGGTTCATGCAGACCCCCACCTGTTCACAGCTATGCCTCCAGGCAGTAGTGACAGCCCTGGCACAGGAAACTAGGGGCTAGGAGAGCCCACCACCGAACCTCCCATGAGTCACAGAGCCAAAGAGGACTGAACCCAGACAGGAAATACAGCAGGGACAGGAGAAAAAGCACCCAGACATGAGGGAGGTGCAAGAAAAACCTCAGCAACAGAGACTGAGACACCCCCCCACACACACACTTATCACCACAGGAGGGTGGCGGGGTGGCCCAGGGCCCGGAGAGGACTTGGTATCCTCCAAGCAGCCCACCCTCAGGCCAAAGAAATGCCAGCGGTCTACCTTGGCCTCAATTTGGGGCCCTAGCTACAGACCGAAATGAGTGAGTAGTAAGTGCCTGGCAACCACCAGGTTAGACCACAGAAACATGCCTCCAGAAAAAGCTTCATGCCCGTCCGGGCCCCCTGCCCCAGAGGCTTCTGGGTTACTTTCAGGGAGGCACAGACCCTGGGGTCCTGGGCCCGAGGTTAGGGATACACAACTTCTCGTCGTCCTGGAAGGCGAAATAGAGCTTGACAAAGAAGGGATGGTCAAGGCAGGAGATGACATCGCGCTCCCGGGTCACGTAGGGGACCTTGTTCTCCTTGATGACGTGACGCTTCTCCAGAATCTTAACTTGGGGAGGAGGAGGAAGGGGCTGGTCACGCTGCTGCAAGCAGCAAATAACGCTAAAGCTGGCTCGTCCATCTAATGGGGCCCCTGGGGGCACTCTTAGCTGATCTGAGGCCAGCAGGACCCCATGGGCACAAGGCTGGCAGGGTTCCCACTTACTTGCGTATTCCCTTGAGGTTGCCAGTTCTCGGGCCAAGACAACCTGGTAGGGAGAGAAGAGAGGATAGTTCACCCGCGTGATTCTGCCCAGTAGTGGCGAGCATGAAACCCTGACCCAGCTTCGAATGGGTCAGTGTGTGCCCTGCACTGTCACTGACCGCAAGTTCAGACTGACTGGACCTCAGGGCCTGCCCAGCCCCTCTGGGCAGACAAGACAGAAGCTGCCTGGCATGGTGTCCCCTCATCCACTGGGGGTCCTGAGACTGTGGGAACTACTGGAAGCCACAGAGCTGACGCTTCAAGGCCAGCTGCTGGCTCTGGCTCAGTCACCTGGACTCTTGACTACAGGAAGGGGCGGGTGGGTGGTGGAAGGACAGTGAAGCCTTATTTGTGTGAGCCTAGGTGGACAGATCCAGAGATCTTTCCAGAAGATAGTGGGGATCGGGGTGGCCTTCTCCAGGGCGCTACTTCTGCCGAGGTTGCTGCACTAGTTTGGATGGAGCAACAGGGCAGACACAGCCATGAAGGAAGGCAGTGCTTCTTGGGTCCCTGTGGAAGGCAGCGGGCAGAGGGGGTAATGGCGTAGCCGCTGACAACAGGCCTGATCTCAGGCCTTCAGCAAGGATCCCACTCGCAGTAATTGCCGAGTCCCACCCTTTAAGTCAAATCCCTGGTGGCCTCCATTCCGGGACTAGGGGACACCAAGGTGCTGGAGCAACAAATCTAAGAGAGAAAGGTACTGCCACCTCACCACCATGATCGTGGAGACCCAGGGAGCAGCTGGCAGAGTGAGGTGAGGAGAGGGAAGCCCACCTCTGGCCCAGCTGCTCAGAGCAACTCTGCTCTGCCCATGACCTAGGGGCTTCTCTTGGTGGTGGTGGTGGGGGAGCACCCCAAGGCTCATCATCTAGGAGCCACTCAGACCAAAGTGGCAGGCACCTTAAACATCTTACAGGAGCAAAACCTAATGTTAATTAAAAGAGGATGCTGAGAACATGGGTGTGCTATAATGTTCACATTCTTCCTTCTACTTTGAAATCATTCATAAATGTCGAAAAGGGCAGAACAAATTTCAAACAGCAATCATTAGCGTGCTGGCAATGGCAGCGATCCTACTCTACACAGACCTTGTTCAGGGTGGAGCGGGCATCAGGGAGGCTTCACCGCCATTTCTTCCCTTTACAGAAGGAGAGTGCGCCAAGGCAGACCAGACTGCTGGTGAAGCCACAGACACAAGCCTGAGTAGTGGAGAGCTGGGGTACCCCATCACGTCAAGCCCCGCCCCCGGCCCACTACCTAGTCTTGGCAAGAGCAGAGAAACAGCACAGATCATGGAGGGCGACCAGAGGGCTGGGAAGGAAAAGGCGCATATATGCTCACTCTCAACCTAAGGGGCAGGGGACCCCTTTCCCCTCCCAACACAGCCCTGCAATGCCTGGCAGGACATCATGTAGCAGACAACAGTTGTGACCAACAGCCCCCGGGGCTGAAGTTCCAGCTGCCTACAGGACAGGACCCCCGAAAGCTGTGTCCTGTCTCCCCGCGACACCCCCCCCCCGCCCCCCACCTACCCCCGTGCCCAGCCTGCCAGTACTCACTGTGGAAAAGGAGCCTTCACCGAGGATCTTCCCGAATTTGAAGTCCTCAGGCCGCTTCTTGCGAGGCTGGGCTTGTGGTGGGGCAGTGTGCGGGAGGGTGCCAGTGCTAGGCCGGGCCTCAGATGCCGTGCTGTCCATGCTAGGCCCCTGCCTGCCACTGCCACCACCGCTGGAGAAGCCAGGGGCACTGCCAGCATCGCTCGAACTCCTCACCATGGATGGGGGCGGGCAGGAACATAGCACCACGCTGGACTGGATGGGGACGGCATCATACTGCGGGCACAGGGACAGGTGGCCGGATGAGAGCCCCTCGAGGAACCTGGCCACAGGCAAGCCCCCACTGGGAGGGCCCCTGGGAATCCCCATGGTCCCATCCTACAGCCCACCAAGACCAAAGCCTCCTGGGAATCCCCATGGTCCCATCCTACAGCCCACCAAGACCAAAGCTCTCCTATCCAGGGGCTTACCCCTGTGTCCATGCCACTGCAGGAGGCTCTGGCCCCTCCCACCTGACCATCTGTCCACTGCTGGGTATCAGGGCTAAAGATCCCTCAGGACTTGGTGTGATGGCAGGATCACCACACAGCCAACCACAGCTGATAAGAAGGTAGTTTCTTAAAAGAACCAACTGAGAACCAAGCTCCTCCACCCAGTAACCCCGCACAACAGAGCAAATTGCCCTCCCTCCAGGGTCTCCAAGCCAGTCAGCGATCCCGCAGGACAGAGCAGGACCACCTCCCAGTCTCCGAGGCTGCGATCTTCATGGGAGCAGACTGCCTCACCTATCTTTCTTAAAGTACAGTCAGTAGGCTTGAACTGAGACCCTGCAGTTAGTAGCCCAACACTTTACCCATTCCCCCCCTTCTGCAACAAGACAGAATAACTGGTTAACAATTTAGGTAAGAATTTATTCAGCACCAAGCTACTGACCACACACCCAAGTCTCCCAGTGCCTGACTCCCAGCAACAATTGACAAGCTGATCTTGAGACCACTCTGGAAATTCCAAGGACCCAGAGGAGCCCAAACAGGACTCAGCATCTTAAAGATAAAACCACACTAGAAGGCGTCATAACTCAATCAGAACTTCTAATAAAGACACAGGCAACAGAAAGTTACCCAAGTGCTCTCATGGGCAAGAGACTAGAGTGTGTTTGGTGTTCAAAGCCATTTTACGGCAGCCAGAGGCACGTTGCAAGCAGTCCAGGAGGGGCGAACAGGGCATCAATCCACAGACCAAAATGCACTGGCGTGGGCAGGCCAGGGCCCCAGGGCAGTCCTCCAACTACAGGCAACGGTCAGCAGAGACAGCTCATGGACAGCTGGAGAAGTAGGTGGGCACCAGGAAAGGCTGGCCATAGCCAGGCTGCAGCAGGAATGCTGCAGTCAGCCCCACAGTTGCACGAAGAATTATCCTGTGTGGCTGAGATGCCAGAGGGTGCTCACGAGGTTATCACTCACCTCGTGCCCTGGCCAGTGGGATTCTGGGCACCCCAGGGCATCCAGGCCCTTCTACTCAGGGCCGGCTTGCCAGCCTGAAGCTAAGAGGGGCGATCTGCCTCTAAAGGTCACAGTCCTGAAAACCCTAAGGTGCCCTTTCTACACGGCATGTCCAATGCCACACAGAAGTCACTGGAGCAGAAGGGGAGCTCCAGCTCGAGGCACCCAAAAGGCTGGCTCACTGGGCCCAGCCCAACCAAGTGGCCAGCTCATTGGACTGCAGCCACAGGCAGCGGGCCACACCTATCACTCCACCGGCGGCCAGGTACAAACCCAAGTGCACATCCTCTCCCTTTGGCGCACTTCACAAGAGCTAACATGAAAGAGGAGACCCCACATTGCCTGGGGTCACTCCTTTAAGAGGGAGGAATTAAGGCTAAACAACATCCAAACAAGGCTGGTGCAAATCAGTGGAAAGAGAAGCTTGCTGGAAATTCAAGCCAAGACCAGGAGAGGGGACCATCTACTTTGTGAAGGAGACGCTGAAAGGGATATTAAACAATGAGTGTAGAGATAGGCCCGATTTTGTGCTCCTGGGTAGACATGAGGAACATGTTTCTACTCAGCCTTTGGTGAACCACGCCATGGATGGAGCACCAGGATGAGCATGGAAGCTGACCTGGCTGCAGCAGGGCATGGCACAGGGGCCACACCAGAAGAGCTTTACATCCAGGCCCCGCTGAATGAACTAAGTCCTACCTCAAAGCTGCCTGCACCCTTGGACTAAGGACTGGGGTACTTGGATGGGAGGACGCACAGTGCCGCCCCAGGCCTGTGAAAGTGGTAGTCATTGGACCTTGGGGGAACCCCTGGCTTGGTGGGTGTCCAATGAAAACACCCAGGACCACCATATATGCAGTACCACAATGCTCATCTTGCAGTGGCACAAGTTCTGATCAATTGAGCAGGGATCTGCACTGAGAAGAATTAATCCAGAAGCCGACCCCCCACCCCACCGCCTTGCATCAATTCCCATATTTAGGGTCAACAGAGCCAATCGAAGGGGAGAGCAAACCGTGTTGGGCAAAAACTCATGGGATCCAGCTCAGGTGGAGCTGTGCTCATAAAGACTCCTCATACGGATAGTGTCTGGAGAGCTGGGCCATTGGCAGGGGCACAACATCATTTTATTGGAAGCGCTTACAGATATAACATTCCATAGTTTAATCGCACCGGTGTTGTACAATTGCTACCACAATCAGTTTCAAAACATTTCCTTTCTTCTTCAACTCCGTATCAGATCCCCTTTATCCCCTCCCTCCGGCCCCCAACCCGTTTGTTTCCTTCTTCTTTTTGCCATATCTTACACAATCCAATTTATCTTCATATAATACTGTTGTTCGATCCCCTCGAGTGGGGCATTGGGAAAACTGAAGATGATAATAGTGCAATCGACTTGGGGGGTGGAGGTTATCAACAAGGCACGCCTTTGCTCATATGGGTTTTTGCTTTTCTGCTTGTGGCTTTTCTTTTTTTCGCGCGCGCGTGTGTGTGTGTGTGTTTCTGTTTGGTTCTACTGTTTGTTTGCATGACAAAAATTTCTTTCCTGGCTTTTTAAATATTGATGAGGGTCTGCTGTTAGGTAGCGAGATATATGGTGAGTTGTCCCTCTGTGCCAAGGCACCCTACAGGAGGTTGCTGCAGAGAATCAGGTGAGCCCAGTCAGCCACAGGGGCTGGAGGGCATGCTTACATTCAGGCTCTGAGCCGGAGGGGTGATCCACACCTAGGTGGGTAGTACACCTGGATTGGCTCATCTAGGCCAGGTGAATTTAATTCAGCCAATGGGTTTAACCAGTATCTTCGATACACAGTTCAGCGCAGCCAGGCTGAGGTCCTGCACCTCTGGCCACTGTGCCCCATTCTCTCTCTCTCTCTCTCTCTCTCTCTCCTGTTCAGTTTACTGTAATGCTTGAAACTGCAGGCTTTGGTGTGAATTTTCTCGTGCACAAAGCCAAGGACTGAGGTATTTCCCACCCGGAGAAATCTAACAGGTTTTTACTTTCTTACTCAGTATTTGTATTTGTATCTTTATATTATTATTTTACCCTTACCACCTTATTTCTATTTTGTTTTCATTGTTTGTTGGGGTTCCCAGTTTGTGACGCACAGGATGAATGGACGCGTAGTGATAATGACTGATACAAAACAAAGGCTTATAGGGGCTGTAGGGGTGGGGGTGGGTGATAGGAAGGGAGATTTGGGGAGTAAACAATGAACTGATTGTGATTGGACAGCTCATTTGAAAGGCCATTTAACCATGGGGGGGGTGTTCTAAATTTGATCTGGTAATGACTGTACAATTCTTGATATGACTGAACGATTGAACTATTGAGTTGTATGATATATAAATTTTGTGCCAATAAAACTGTTGGGGGGAAAACTATGAAGAAAACACTCTTCAAATGTTTTTCCCCAATTGAGGTATAATGAGTGTGCAATAATGTTTGAGATGATGGCTATGGGCGGGTATGATGTCTGAATCAACGCCTCATAAGATGGTTTGAGAAAAAAGAGACCCGAGTGCGGGAGTCAGGGGGAACTGATCAGACACCCAACAGCGCTGAAGGATTTTTAGGAGCACGTGACTAGCTTTGTCATAATAGGCATTACAGAAAAGCCGGTAACAAGGCAATAGTTCCGTTAGCCACGTGTGCCCATGTGCCCAGCACAGTCTTTCACAGATCTGGGTGGTCAGTAACTGGGGCCAGGTTAAAGAGTCCCATATTCTGTGTTCCAAACCCCTTAGGAGCCGTCATCTTCTGACCACAGGGAATCACAGGAGCACCCAAGACGAGAGAGGGCATGCTGCAGTGGGCGGCCAGCGGCACAGCAGGCAGCCCTGACAAGGAGAGCAAAAGCATTGGAAACATAGAGCCTTACAGGCAGGGGCAGGCCTGGGCTGAGGGGCCGCTGAGTGCTGCATGCACCTCTCCCCTCTGTGTGAAACTGCCACTTAAGCAGCGAAACCTACATGTAAATGAAGGGACAGCCCATGGCCGTGCAGTAAAACCATGACAAACATGTCCAGGGAGGAAGAGGCTGCAGAGTAGCCCAAAATGAAAGGCAGTGACAAAGGCAGTGGGGTTACGCACCTTTCTTTCATGCTATGTTTTTAATGGATCAATCTGGACTCACAGGGTAGGGAGGGCACTGGGGACCTGGGAGCCAGGCATGACCTGGATCCCAGAAGGCAGTGGTAGCATGGGACTAAAGGAGAATCTTCATCTCAGAGGAGGTGATTACAATTCCCATCAGGGAAACCTCCCATCAGGGGGGAAAAAACCTGTCAAGAAGGGAGTCCTGGTACGGATGTCCGGAGCTGCACGAAGATCAAGCTGCCCAGCTTCCTCCCACCACTGACAGGACCGTACCCCACCAATGCCAACGCTTAGTGATGGGAGGGATGGGGTTCCGCCTGTCCTCAAGCCTGACGACCCCAAGCTCCGCTCTGGCAATGCACATACCCCAAACCCAACAGGCCATACTGTGGCTGTTGCTCATGGAGCTGACGGGGCCATGCCCACTGGTCAGGACCAACGACTGGGACCCTGAGGGCATCTCAGATCACCAGGGGGTAACAGACATGTTTGCACACACCTGGCCTGTCACCCTTCCCTCTCAAAGCTCAGGGGCCACTGTCTTCAGGCCACCTTGGTCAGCAGGCCAGGTCTGCATCTGGCCCCAGCCCCAAACATCAGAGGGGGGTCCAGGTAACTTCTGTGGGTGTGTCAACCCCCTAAGAACACCCTCCCTCTGGTGGGCTCCTGAAGGGGAGGGAGTCCACTCACCCTGTGGCTACTGCAGTTACCCAAGAAGACTGAGCTGGGGGGGAAGGGGTGTTGGCTGCCAGGGCCCATGGGGAGGG